GATAAGTCCTAAAAAATGATAAGATGTTTTACATTCACATACTCAGAAAAGTTGATTAAAATCTTTTGGTAACTTAAAACAAATTGAAGGTCTTCCAAAGGAAATGAAACTTTAAAAATAAATCACCATTTTTTATAATCAAATTTCAAAAGAAAAAATTATTTACAGTCATCACGACGTTTTGCCATGGCTCGTGTAGTAACACCCACTGCTTCGGTTATCTCTAGTGTCAAAGGTTTTGTCACGATAATTCCGCCAGTAATTGAAACAGATTCTGAGGTAACTGGTAAAACAGCAACGGTGCTATCGGGTTGGACATTAGATTGGTTTGACGATGTATCTGTAGGTGTGAATGATTTTTTTGGCGTTGATTCAGACGATATGGATGTAAGTGTGGTGTTGTTAAAAATTTCTTCTTCTGAGGATGATGTTGGTGTAGAATGCCTTGGTTCGAATGTCGTTGTGTCGGGGCTATGAAGAGGTGAAAGAGGGATGCCGGGTGATTGATACCGCGAGCGTCTGCGTATCCTGATGATTATATATATTGTTACAGACAGTGCGTCTATAACAATAAACACGCCTAGGACAATGAAAATCCAATCTGTAAAAAAAATTTTTAAAAACCAATGATGATTAAATAGTCACCCTATATAAGCATATATAATATTATGCACGTTTCTATTATTTAATGTCACACATTGAATCAAAGATAATATTAACATTTTTTTAAAGATAAAACCATTTTCTAATTTAATTAAAATTTAAAAATATATAAACAATGATAACTCTAAATCTAAACAAATAAAACCCAAATTACCATTATTTAATGATGAATCTGTAGAATGTTGTGGTGGCGTATTTGTAGAAGAAGGAGGGTGCGTCGCTGAAGTCTCTGTAGACCCTGAAAGTGTAGATGGAGATGAAGACGTAGTTGGAGATGAAGACGTAGTTGGAGATGAAGCTGTACTTGGAGATGAAGACGTAGTTGGAGATGAAGCCGTTATGACGAAAGCATTAGTCGTAGAAAATAAAGTTGGGATATCTGTAAAAATCAAACAACATACTTTTTTTCAACTTTTTTTTAATTATAAATATAACAAACTTAACAATATTCTTTCAAGTTTCTTTGTGTGAAATTTTTCATACAATCTTAATATTTACATTTGATTAAAATTATAGATTATGCTCTTTCGGTTTGGAAATACAATTTTAAAGTTTCTCTGTATGGATCTCTTATGTATCCTTAATTATTACAATATAATGAAAGCATTTCATGCACTTTTTTTCTTCATAACTTACCACATCCGCCACACTGAATAACTATCGTTCTCTTTGAACTCAGCATCAGCCTCTTCATGGAAAGTCTTGTGAGAATGCGTCTTGTATCCCGGTGTATATCAATCCGACTTGATCTCATTTTAAATGTGCAGTCTAATGCGATGCACTCGCAACGTGAGACACATTGATAATAATTCAAAGTTTTCTCCGAACAACATGCCGAAAAAGAACTGCATTGTTGAAAATTACAGCGATTGACACACCAAACTTGGTAAAAAAGAACAGCACTAACGCACAACAGGCAGTACATTTTTTTTGTTTGAAATTTTTACTAACTTACTTTCAGGAATGTCTAAAAAAAAATTCTTATGCATCCCTATATATACTCTGGTCATTTTCCCAATCTCCATCCTTTACTCATTAATTACCCTATGTAATCTTGACAGTGAATATAGGTGGTACTATTGTTTTAACAAAAATCATTGCTCAATGTGTAACCTTTCTAATTATTAATGTACCCTTGCTATCATTACATTTTGCAAATTATGTGGGCCAGACAATGTGTACTTTTCATCTTGTCAATCCAAATAAAATCCTGACACAGGCATGGTCACCCGGTCCCAGTTATCGTGCCATGAAATCGCCTCCTGTTGCAGTAAATTTTGGAACAACATAGGTGAATGAACCCTTATATTTTTCCCGCCTTAGATGGCAATTTAACACAGTGGTTGTATTTAAAAAAATAGATAAAAAAAATCTTATGCTTCCTATACAAATATATATCTATATATGTATATTTATTTATTTAAGACAATTTGCAATAAGATTTTTTTTTCTTTTTCATTTTTTTTTATCAATCCTTTTGTACAAGACAATTTCATTAACAATTGTCTCATAATTCTTACATAAGGTCAACCTTGGTGAATTTTAGTTTACGATAAAAGGGGGGTGGTCCAATTACGACGGTCTCGGGAATGTCCTGATTTTTTACCGAAACGTGAAAGATTTAAGTGACAGTGACCTGATAATTTGTTGATAGTATCATTATGTGTGGCAAGTGCCCCTATCGTGTAGGGGTGATTGTCCTCTGTTCTATTTATTTTTCACTGATTCCTTAAATTTCACCTTGCCCTGATAATGTTGTTCTATTTTACAATACGAAGTACGATAGAGGGGGGAAAAAAAGATGAACACTCTATACATTGGTATCAATGAATGAAAAAAAAAGAATATCGTCCAACTCATTCACTTTATTACTAAGGATAATGCAAAATGTAATTAAAGCTGATGTATCTTCAAATAAAGTGCCGCGCCACAGCATGATACGCCCGTCAAAAAAATTACAATTTTCTTGAACAGTTTAGGTGCAAGAAAATCACATCAACCTTGATTCTAAGATTTCGATGATTTGTCATTTATCCATCCCCTGTGATGTAGGCATCAATTATAATAAATATTACATCACTGATAGATTTCTGTGCTGGTTGTGTTAGACCTTGTCAAATGCCCATCATCAAATTAGTCTTAACAACTTAATCTATACCAAATTAATTTTGAAAAAAAAGGCTGGCCATCAAATGACATATGTTATAAACTGACCAGCAGTTCTTCTGTCTAATCCCCAAAGGGCTGCTTAATCAGAGCGACTGAGATAGCTACCCTTCCTACATTGAACTCATTAATTAATCTTTAACTGGATGCTTGTCTACTCATTACTACCAAGAGATGAATGGGTCTGCACTATAATTTTTTTTAAACATATAAAATACTCTCAGATTTTTTTTTTTTTTGGTTGAGATTTAATGTCCGACAGATTTTAGTATGTAATTCATATGGACATGCTGATTCAACCCCACCCCATAAAATTAGTTTTTAAATTAATAATATCACATAATATCAGATTAGTCTATTATGCAATATCAAATTAGTTTTAATTACTTTTCATCAAATTCATTTCAAAACTTAAGCTAGTCAACAAGAGCTATTTTTAATCAAACAGGCTTACCATTTGCCCAATTCTCAAGGGATATAGATTACGCCAATGCTCTGTCAATAGCTCCTCGCACTCAAAACCCATTAATTTCTCTCTAATTTGACATGCAATTTTCTGTTATCAAAATTCTTCTTGACCAGTGCTTGATAATTACACTCATGGGAGACATGGGATTTCTCTAACATACATTATATTTGTTTTAGATTGCTGTCAAGTATATGCTTTAAAAAAATAAGTATTTTCTTGATTTAACACTTTTTTAATAAGAACAGTGCAATACTCTTACATTATTTGGGATGTGTAAATGAATAGTAAAAAGACACATTTTTTTTTAAAAATCCACTTAAAATAAAGGTCACAGTGACCTTGAAATAGGTCGCGACACACCTTCTACCTAAGATGCATAAACTGGCCAAGTTTGATGATTGTATGTCTTATGGTTTTCTAGTTATGGGCCGGAAAGGATATTTCCATATTTGGCTATAACTTCTTAATTAAAGGTCAGAGCGACCTACTTTTTGTGTGCGACACACCTTCTACCCAAGATGCATCAGATGACAAAGTTTGGTAATCCTAGGCCTAGTAGTATTAAAGTTATGAGCCGGAAACGAAAAAGCTAACAGACAGACGGACGGACACGAAGCCTATAACATAATACGTCCCGTCTTAAGACGGGCGTATAAAAAGAAGTTATTTTCATTAAACTCATATTGAAATATAAATCATAGACGTAGGATAAGTTAAATACTATTTTAAAGAAAAACTCCTATACTTCATGACTACAGGTATGTGTGCTATGTCTTTTTATCTTCTATATATAAGAAGATATTTCTTTCGGATGTTTTAACATTAATGTCTTTCGTCATAAATTCTCTAAAAAGCGCGTTATTTTTATTATTATTAAAGTACAAAATATACTCATAAAATTTACATAAATATTGCGTAAAAATGAACATTATAAAAAATATGTCAATTAATGACATACATCTTTAAAAAGTGTATGTATGATTCACAACCTATATTTCTTAATTAAGTGACCGATATTTTAGGTTTTGTAACCGATATTTCATTAAAGATGGTGTCATACAATATGAAAAGATTTCTTATTGGTTAGTATATTTTTGTGAGTTATACCAATAAAAAACAAATTCCTGATTTTGGAGGGAAAGAGGTAGAGCCATGTTTAGCTAAAATCTGCCTAATGTCAAACAATTATGAAGTTTTGTTATCTTATAAATAGACATTTTTTCTTTCTGAATATGCTTGTTTTAGGGTCAGTACTCTGTATTTATAGCGAAAACCGGTTTTTTTGTTAAGAACCTTTATTCCCAGAAATTGATAAAAATACGTTACGTAACCTAATGATATACACGCCATGAATCAGGTCGAAGCATTATACGTTTTAAATATGTAATAATTGTGGCATCGTGTTTACAGGATAATTGTCTAATTCATAATCATAAATTGGAAAGCTGGATGATAAAAAAAATAAGTCATACATATTCTTCTATTTAAAAAAACCCTGAAGACTCGGACCTGAACATACTGAGAAAGGGGGTATCTAAATATGCCCCCCCCCCCCCCCCGAAAAAAAGATGATGAAATTGATCTGACACATTTAATTACTACATGTAAACTTATTGTCTCTATTAATGAATCTATTATATATTGCGAAACTTCTTTTTGACACATGTTTTATAAGCCGAAAATCGAATATTTTTTGATCGACTGGAGAAAGGCTTGAGTCGGAGAATATTCGGGTCGGAAGACAGGAACCACATGGCCACATGATCATGGCACATGGTAAACACTAAAACAGAAACTCGAGTAAGTTAATGTAGTTTTTATATATATGTGGTAAATTATTTAATTTGCATGATGAAATAATAGTTTATATCTGTTTAAACTCTGTAATCAATGTAAAGATTTTGGAATGTCGGGAACAAAGTACAGATGTGTTCTCAGTTAATCCGAGATGCCTCTGCCTAACCTCCACTTTCACACTATGACGCAGGCAAGTTGAAAGGGCTTTATTAAGGGAGCAGAGGGGGCTCAGAGCAGTAGCCATGATATTTAAAATTGGAGATAGAAAATTTCAGCTAGTTGATGTCACTTAGACCATGCCATATTGGAAAGTTGGGGGTACATGTCAGACAAAAGAGTACGAGAAATCTCGAATTACTATGGAATATTAGAGTGGTAATCCTGCTAACATTATTTTGATCAACAATTTTAATAATTTATTCGCTTTTTAGGGAGAAAACAATAGGGCTTGCCTAGAAAAGAGGATTGGTTATCATTTCGGACTAAAAAGTCGGGATAGGTAGGTTGGCAGTGAACAAAAATGAACATTCTTAATTACAGTGCTTATGTAGTCCTGCTGTAAACTGCATTAATTAAGCAATGAATCATTATTTTTTGACAATTATAGTATCATAATTGCAACGGCACGTGCAAACAAATTGAGTAATGCATTAATGTGAATTATGAAAATATATTTACATTTGCAAATGTTTCCCTTTGTATAACACTATTCAAATCAATGTGTATCTATAACTGTATATATACAGTTTTCACCAAGAAGAAAAATCACCACAGGACAATCGGACAGACAACACATTGTCACAGGACCAAATGAATTTTCACTGGTCCAAAACTTTCATATAATGATCATAACAATGTTACTTCATAGCATATGAATCAATTAACAGAATGAATCATTAAACAAACATTAAAAGATTAACTGAAATTTTTCTTTTTTTTTTCCTGGTACTCATACTACTGTCCCATCAAAATATTTTAGGGACATCATGGCAGAAGTAAGTTTTAAACAATTACAATCAACAAAACGTTAATAATGTGTTTTGGTATTAATTAAAGCATCTAAATGATAAAATAGGAAATATATACCGGTAATTTAAAACCCAACAAAAACACACCTCTGACAAACAGACCGATTTTACAAGCTAGAGCATCGGACCAATAAGATTTTCATCTATTTTGTCCGAAGGACTGGTGCTTTTGGGATAGACTGTAAAACCGGTATGGGGTCAAGAGGTCATGGACGTGCGTATGGATAAACGTTCAACGTGATTTCTCAGTGACGTCGTAAAGGATCAACGCCCGTTAAGTGGATTACATACATGACATTTCACACATTAAAAGTCACAATCAGGCAAATATAAATTATGAAAAAAGTCACAAAAATATAAGTAATAAGGTATCATGACATTTTAAAACATCTATCAGGCTATAAATACAAGTTGATAAGAGATTTAATTCTGTATAAAGCCCTTTGGGCTTTATGGAATTTAATTTCATGACCAACCCGTATTTATATCCCGATAGATGTTTTAAAATGATACCTTATTTCTTAATTGTTTGCACACACCATTGCAGTTATGACACTATCTCTTTCAAAAAATTATGATTCATAATCATTGGTTATATTTACATTTTTAAACTGCAAATGTGATTTCTATTTCAGAAAGTATGTATTATCCTCTGTGTAAGGTACAATTAATGGATCAGCCAACGTAACAGGTTCTGGTCAATTGAGCGTGATATTTTGATTTTCAATTTTTCGGCGTTCATCGACTAGACATCAAACTAAAATGTATGCTTCAACCTCTTACCACCATGTCCATGTTATGGTGTTTTGAATGCAATAGATTTCCATTCACTTTGTATGCAAAAAAAAACCCAAAACATATATAATGTAAATATAAGCATTTAATAAGTTACTTGAATTTAAGGCCATATATATATATAAACAAAGTACAGAACTGGTTACAAATATTTGCTAATACATTTCTATCAATTATTTTTTTCATAAAACATTATAGTGACAGGGGTAAAGATTTCTTAATTTATTTTCCATAATAATTACTGAGTACACTTTGAATCAATGACTCAGATTTGAACACTTGGACCAAGTCATATAAAAATGAGAGTTATAAACAAATGCATCTAAATCCAATTTTTGGGGTGGTGTTAATCCATATTTAGTAATTAGTAAATTATAAATATTTAGGATAAAGTAGCAAGTAAATAATATTAAATTAAATAGTATTGGACTTCAAAATTAATACCACTTAACTAGTATTCAAAAAGGATTGAAATACAAATTAAGCAAAAGAACATCTCATTGTAAAAATTAAGGGCCAAGTACTCTCACAAGGGGAGATAATCAAGAAAAAAATAGGGTGGGTTCATTAAAAAATCTTCTCAAAAACCACTGGGCCAGAGAGCTGAAACTTTTGTGGAAGCATCCTGGGGTAGTGTAGATTCTAAATTGTTCAAATCATGACCCCACGGGGAAGGGCGGGGCCACAAAGGGGAATCCAAGTTTTACATAGAAATATATAGGAAAAATCTTTAAAAATCTTCTACTCAAGACCCAATGGGCCCAAAAAGCTGAAACTTGTGTGGAAGCATCCTGGGGTAGTGTAGATTTCAAATTGTCTAAATTATGATCATTAGGGTAGGGACTAGGGAGAGGTTGCAATATGTATTACAAGGGGGAAATCTGGTAAAGAACAAAATGGTCAAAGCTTCTCAGGTGAGTGATGTGGCCCATGGGCCTCTTGTCTGCAAATAGGTAGGTAGGTTTTTGAAAGATGGGTGGGTGCTAATTGCTAAACAGAAAAAAATCTTGAAATGGCCTGACTTTTTGTAAAACATAGCTATTAAAATATCAACAGCATCATAATATACAGCCCATGGGCCTCTTGTTTTTACAAGAATATTTTGAGCACAAAGAGTACTTGCAGTACATAACTTGTTTTTTATTCCTCTTTTTCACTTTCACTGCTAGAGGATTCATCAATGACTGCAGCATCCATCACAAAATCTGACCAGTTTTGGACACCGGGTATGGACTCGACATTATACTTGGCAAAACCGAGGTACCATATTACTGAAGCTATGTGAGAACAGACTCCAACTACACGAGCTCCTGCACGACATCTGCAGTACCAAGCTGTAATGTTGGACTCTGTGAACTGAATCCAGAGGAGGTACATCTTGGAGGAGATATGTCTGCTCTGAAGCTTGACCCGAATTAGTCCAGGAAACTCTTTATGTAGCAGTATGTTGACGTCACCATCTAGGTACTCCTGAACATAACTCGGGCAAAGCTTCAGCTGATAAACCCCACAAGTTAAGTTTCTGATTTCTTCCTCATCAAGTCTAGGAAATTCAAGAGATTCTGGAGCAGTGTCCCAGTTAACTGATCTTCTGTCCAAGGAATTTTCCTCTACAAATGTCTTGAGAGTGTTGATTTGAGTGTAAAGATGCCTCATTTTGGCTGCCAGGGCTATGTCATCATCAAGATTGCCAGACGATAGTGGTTTGTAATATTTGTTAGATATTGCACAAACAATTCGCACGTAATCGCCAATATAGGGCACTTGGTTGGTAGGAAGTGTATGGGCGAGATATTTCCAGTGTTTGATTCTCGAATTCGCAGCCTCCACTACCCAACGGATCTGCAAAAATAAATGAAGTGTGTAGTTTTGCACAGGTGAGTGAAAATATGTATGATCAGAGACATATTGTATAGGTATTGTCTCTCGCAATCTTTTGTCTGATTACCATTAATTATTCAAGTTATCTTAGTTTTCCCAGTCCCATTTAGTTTGAGATAGGAAGGTTTAACTGTAAATTATGTCAAGGTCATAGGGAAATCAAATATCGACTTTATCTAAAGAGAGACTCTGTACTTTCCAGATATATTGTACATTGTATTGATCTATAAAAAGACTTGTACATGTACAATTCAGACATACTAGTATTTTGTTGCCACTGTCAAATTATGACAAAATTTTTAAAACTTGTTTTGGTAAAAGAATATTATCCTTGATTATTTTGCCTTAATACATAAATACTTGTCATGTACTGTAATTTACATGCTAGCAAAACTTTTAACAACTTATATGACAACAAAATTACTTATACTGCTTAAATATCTTTTGTAGGAAACCCAACAGCAAAAAAAGCATGTTACCTTTGTGACTAGCCGGGAAGCATTAGCATCAAGATCTGACATCTGCTTATCACCTTTGCCTAGCAGACATGGCATCTGTGCCTTTATACCAAACTCCTCCAGCACTTCAATGGCATCCCTAAATCCCCGGTCCACGATAAAGACATCATCATCTTTAAACCAGTTTTTCATGTCTTCAACGTTGGTTTTCAGCATGTGGTTCAAAATGGATGCATCATTGTTTTTATAATCAGCCAAATAGGGGCCAACGACAGATAGAAAATAGCCATCAGTGGATACAACAACCATTGGTTTAAGAAGTGGCCTGCCCTTATGAGTGCTGTATGATCTTCGTTGAAATTGAAAATTACTGCTTTTTTGGATGTAGATGTAAGTGCCGTCCAAAACTACAATGACTTGTTGATTATTCATGTTGCCAAAAAGTTCTTGAGCTAGGGGTCGAGTATGGTTTGTAATGATCTCTTCACGGGAAATGTGTTGCAAGCCTAAGTTGTTTGGTACAAAATTTTTTAGTAAAGCAGAACGGACTGATTTCATGGCTCTGCGAAGTGATGATTTAGAGATTCCAAATATTGTGCTGAGGAGCTGGTAGGACATTCCAGATCTTAGCTTCAAGAGGAAAATACCAAGGGACATCCTGGAGCTCCTATTCTGTGTGTTTCTTACATCACCTGCTATGGCTTTGTGAAGATCATCAAAATTTTCTTTTGTGAGACTGGTGAGTGTGACATAATCACTGCTATTCATACTGGAAGAGTCAAAAGTGAATTTTGAAGAAGATTTCAAAGCATATTCTCTAATCTTTCTGATGAGTTCTAATATTGTTGTTCTGTTTAGTAATGAGGAGTCCAAGGTGTTGATATCTTGCAGCACTCCAGGAGTAAAATCCCCATCTTCAATATGTGAAGGGCAACATCTGCATCCTGGTGGAATGATTATTTCTCTGTTGAGGAAGGCATTAAATCTAGCTGATGGAGGCACAACCATAAGTTTGGGACCTGGACGCCTACAGACAAAACAGTATGCATGGGAAGACGCTGTCCTGTGGAGAGGCATAGATATGGATGGTGGACTTGACACAGCTGTTTTTTGTTGTTGATTATTTTGTTGTGTTGTTGCTTCTCTGCATGAAATTTTTTCACTTTTTGTTTGTTGCTGTTTATAGTATTTATGCCTACATTTGTTGCACAGGATGTCATTTGAACTTGCTTCTACGAGAAAGTTTCTTCTAAGAAAACGGCGCATTCCAACTGTTTCACATTTTTTTCGATCATTTGGTTTAGTCCTCTTTTTGCATAGGATGCAGGGATAATACTTATGGCTGTATTCGTCTTGTTTTTCCATTTTTTATGCTCTAAAAAAAGAAAGGAAAATTGTGTTTGAATTCAGTTTAAATTGTGAATTACAGCACATTTCAGGTTTTTTTTATGAGTATGGTTTTTATTCCTTTTGGTATTTTTATGTTTAAAAAAATATTTTACGGTTTAATTTGTTATTTTTTGTTAATAATGTTGTTAACAAATCAAGAATGCTCTTTATAGACCCTTTTCCTATGACATATTTTGCCTAAGAGTTATTCCCCTTACCCCCTTGTATGGCAACATTCCTAGATCCCTATATTATTCATCCAAGGTCAATTTGTTATACATTTGTTAAAGCCTCTATTTAATCCATAATTTTAAGATTGTAAATATTTTTCTCCATATATTTCTTGCATACATGTTTAAAATTGGCTGCTCAAAGAGGTAAATTCATTACTTTGCCCTACAAATGGTGGCTAAGGGGAATAACTCCTAGGCAAAATATGTCATAGGAAAAGGGTCTAATACAATGAACACTAAAGATTTTTATTAGGATGAGTTCTAAATTGTAAACAAAACTGATTTCCAAGGTCTTTTTAAAATTTTTAGATAAATTATTAAAATTTATTTTGCTAATATAAATTGATTCTACAGTTTATTCTGCAACACTGTATGAAATCAAATAAGCAAGAAAGTTAGTGCTTTCTATTTATTAATTCATCATTCGTATTTAACGGAAATGTTGATAAATGATTGATTTCTTCTGTTGCAGCTTGTGAAAATGTATGGAGAGTATGCCACTTTAATATAAAAAAAAAAAAAAAATGCTGCATGTCCGGGGAATCGAACCCGGGGCGCTGGATTGGGTGGCGGACACGCTACCCCTAGGCTACGGAGGCGTGTGGATTTGATTGATTTAGAAGAGGTACACTCTTTTGGTTTGGTTGTTTATATCGAATCGTTTGCTTCTATATATTCTGTAAAATTCTTTTTTCTTATGTTTATTAAAGTATTCATAAAAGATTTCATCTGTATTTATGTTTTGTGTTTGCAGTCAGGTTATCTACGCTACATGCTATCATGACTGAGGAGGCGGAGCGTAGAACTATAAATAACCCTGTATCAAGCTACATGTAAACAAAATATACATGCGGCTCAATATGTTGTCAGAATGTGTTAACGTTATATTCTAATATTGTTTTTTTTCCCAGAAAAATGGAAAGACTTATAAAGTATTTATAGACATGCGTAATCTTCACCACAGGATTAATAGAAAAAAAAAAAACATTTGTGCGCAGTCGTCTGCGAGCGAGGTTTGGATCATAAACAGAAACATTACATGTATATGCAAATACAATATTTGTTGCTATAATAGTTAAAAAAATATTCTTACCTTACAAAACTTGTCTTGATTCACTTCCTTGTAACATATTGGAACGCAAAGACACGTACGCTGATTGTAAATATCATTTAGTACAGTTGATACATGTATTCTACATGTGCATGTAGATCATAGCATAGGCTCATACGTAAGTTGCAGACGTAAAACAAGAATTTTTTATCATATTTTTTTAAAATTTATTGAAACATCAGGAAATATTAAATAATGAACACATCAAAATTTTCAACTAGATTTTTTTTAATTTAATAAATGGTTTATTTTGAATTATGGTTCAAACGGTACCTGGTGAAAATGGCACCTAGTGAAAACGGCACTTGGATTATGCAAAACGGCACTTGGTGAAAATGGCACTTAGTGAAAACAGCACTTGGTCAAAATGGCACTTATAGAAAAAAGTATATATGCAATGATAATTTGATATATATATATTGATATATTTATGTGTGTGAGTATATATAAAGATAATATTATTTTTTTTTCCTGAGAGGGTCCATTTTTTCCAGGAAAACAATTAATTCATGTAAACACTGTAATAATGTTTTATGAAATCTCAGTGATATATATATGATTAAATTCTGTAAGAACCTATGCATATACATACTTTTCTCCACAGATTCATACATTTAAATACCAAATTTGAAATGATTTTTTCTCATTTTATTCCTTGAAATATTTGTATCTTCATCTTTTAGTCTCCTTTTTTTAATTAATGATATAACAGCTTGTTTTTTTTAATATAACGTTATTTTCAAGACAAGATTATAAAAAAATAACAGCATCATGTTATCATCTATAGAAATTATCATTTGTATCAATATCAACATCAAACTGTATCATCTTAATATTTAATCAATTATTAGATATAAATAAACTGATATTCTTCAATTAAAAAAAAAGAAAAAAAAAAGATTTTGTTCTTCTATGTACAGGTTTCATATTGTAAAAAACTTAATAGTAAATGTTATATGGCTATTCAGATTTTATGTACAGTTTAGAGAGGAATATCTAACTTTTCCTAACTTATGTACAATCCTTTTGACACATTGTCAAGAAATACACAATAGTAACCGATTGCAAATTGACGATCAGCAGATTATTGAAAGAGAGGTGTGAAATGGTCTTTTGTTTCTTATTCCTACAAGTGTATTCTAAGTAAACATACTCAACTGGCTTCTAATTAGTCAGCTGTGACTGGCACCCCCCAAAACAGAGTGACACATACATATTTGCAATACTATTAATTTTTAAATTTCAAAGGATCATAATAATATAATTTGGATTTGATCTCTTTTGTAGAAAATAATAGACATATAATTTAAAGAAGAAGTGCATTTAAAAAATCTAACCACTGTACAAAAGTATAATAATTTTCAAATAAATTAGTCTATTTTTTCTTAAAATGTTTTTTAAAAACATTTTTCTCAATAATAATATACATATTTATTACTATAAATGAAATATAAAGATCCGTTTTCTGTTTAAACAATATCAAATTCTCAAAATAAAAAAAGTGCCGTTTTGACTTTTCTAAAGTGCCGTTTTGACTATTCTCAAGTGCCGTTTTGCATATTTCCTAAGTGCCGTTTTCACCAGGTGCCATTTTAACTTGTACCCTTTATTTTTGTGGAAACGCTGTAGAAATGTAACGGAATGGGAAAATCCGGATTAACAATGAGACGTACTCTTCTAAATTTCACCCACAGCACACCCCACGATCCAAATATTTTCATGTGGAAAAATTAGAGCTTGTGTAGTCTTTTAATTATATGCAAATACTTTTTGGATCGAGGGTTGTGCTCATACTTAAAAAAATGGCACAACTGATTCAAAGTGGCGATTTTTGACGAAAACGTGACCAGTTTCGGTTTTCTTTGTTACAGTATTCTGTTGTTTGAAACACTGGCGGGAAAATAGTGCCTAAACTGGAAAATATAAAGTTTAGACTGTGTGAATAACGCACTGGATCTATGTATCGTCCATCTTTAAATTCCCACAAAACACAGGGCCAAATATGCTAAACATGGCTCTACCTCTTTGACTGTTAAAACACCCCCCTCCCTCCCAGCCATTCAAGTTAAACATGCAAGACAGCTCTAAACAACAATTGCTGCTTAATTTCTACGCTACAATAGGTTGATTAATATCGAGAACTGAGCGAAGGAATTATTCTTTGGCATTTTTAAATGCCCGTTTTTCAGATGATTAGGTCGAATTTTCTCTAACTTAGAACAGTGAAGCCACCCCTGGACTTCCGGTACAAGGACTGTCCTCAATGCATATGATACAATGAAGCGCATTGAAGTGGTAAAATTTTCCGTTCGAATGGAACGTTTTGAGCTATATTTAGAGTGTTTATTGTCATCTTTTGACACGCCCATTTCTTTAGAAATTGATAAAACGGTCAAGTTGTTTCTTCAAATACCTGTATAACAGGTTTTCCATAAATATAATAGCCAATCAAATTGAGGATCTAAATAAACACCGAGTAAACACGTGTTCGACCAAAACATGTGTTGTGGTAACTTCAATAGACATGATAAGTTCAAAAATATGTACATATGCATTGCAATTTGTGTTTAACAGAAGCGGGGAGTATCTAACTCCCTCTTCTATTTTTTTTAAAAGCTCCATTTCAGTGTAACTCATGATGCTTGTCGCGAAGAATGGGATGTCCTAAAACTACGACGAATATTACTTTCTCGTTTCTAAAAATATGGGCGTGTCATTATGTTATAATTGACCTTCAAAACATGACTCAGAACTTTTCATCCAAACGGAGAATTTTACCACTTCAATGCGCTTCATTGTACGTAAGACCCATTTGAGGCGTAATGTAGAGAAATTTCGCATCAGCAACTCTCCATCAGCTTTACATTGAAATTTTCCAGCTAGAGCAATGGAAATGCGTACATAAGCTATTTTCAAGTAGCCCTAGCCTCGTTACGGGAAACGAAAGGAGAGTTTATTTTCCTGAAATATTGCTGCATTACTTATGATGAACAGTAAAAAACTCTTAAAACTCCATAATATTGCCAAATGTTTTGTTGAACATGCAATTTTTGATTTATGTTAAGCAGACTCAAACTTGACTTCCGGTTATGGTATGGAAATCATTCAACCGTTAAATTTCCGATGTTTACCAAATTGAAGACATTCATAATTTTAAGATACAAAATTCTCTACTTTACATAATTATTTCCCCCTAAATTACGGTGTTGCGTTTCTTTTGCGTGTCAGTATATTTGATATCGCTTATCTTCCAGGCGTGGGTTAGTGGAATTCCAATTTTTTTTAAAAGATAACTCTTAAAGGATATTATAACCATGGCATTTAAAACCCATCCCAAACAACGCTAAAACATCTCGTTTTTTTACACGCACAATGAAGCGCATTGAAATGGTAAAATTTCCGGTTTGAATGGAACGTTTTGAGCTATCTTTAGAGCATTGATTGTCATATAATGACCCTATTTCTTTAGAAAGGAAAAATCGGTGAAATGGTTCATTCCAATACCTGTAGAACAGGTTTTCTTTAAATATAATAGCCAATCAAATTGACGGTCTCCATAAACATACAATGAAGCGCATTGAAGTGGTAAAATTTTTCGTTCGAATGGAACGTTTTGAGCTATATTTAGAGTGTTTATTGTCATCTTTTGACACGCCCATTTCTTTAGAAATTGATAAAACGGTCAAGTTGTTTCTTCAAATACCTGTAGAACAGGTTTTCCATAAATATAATAGCCAATCAAATTGAGGATCTAAATAAACACCGAGTAAACACGTGTTCGACCAAAACATGTGTTGTGGTAACTTCAATAGACATGATAAGTTCAAAAATATGTACATATTCATTGCAATTTGTGTTTAACAGAAGCGGGGAGTATCTAACTCCCTCTTCTATTTTTTTTAAAGCTCCATTTCAGTGTAACTCATGATGCTTGTCGCGAAGAATGGGATGTCCTAAAACTACGACGAATATTACTTTCTCGTTTCTAAAAATATGGGCGTGTCATTATGTTATAATTGACCTTCAAAACATGACTCAGAACTTTTCATCCAAACGGAGAATTTTACCACTTCAATGCGCTTCATTGTACGTAAGACCCATTTGAGGCGTAATGTAGAGAAATTTCGCATCAGCAACTCTCCATCAGCTTTACATTGAAATTTTCCAGCTAGAGCAATGGAAATGCGTACATAAGCTATTTTCAAGTAGCCCTAGCCTCGTTACGGGAAACGAAAGGAGAGTTTATTTTCCTGAAATATTGCTGCATTACTTATGATGAACAGTAAAAAACTCTTAAAACTCCATAATATTGCCAAATGTTTTGTAGAACATGCAATTTTTGATTTATGTTAAGCAGACTCAAACTTGACTTCCGGTTATGGTATGGAAATCGTTCAACCGTTAAATTTCCGATGTTTACCAAATTGAAGACATTCATAATTTTAAGATACAAAATTCTCTACTTTACATAATTATTTCCCCCTAAATTACGGTGTTGCGTTTCTTTTGCGTGTCAGTATATTTGATATCGCTTATCTTCCAGGCGTGGGTTAGTGGAATTCCAATTTTTTTTAAAAGATAACTCTTAAAGGATATTATAACCATGGCATTTA